GGGTATGTAATTACTGCGACCGCAAATTGTCAGGCACTCTTCCCCGTCTGAAGGATCATTTCTTAAAGGGAGTGTGTTGTGTCGAGAAAAGCACAAAACGTCTCACGGCGGAGGAGATACTGCGCCGGAAAGAGGTTCAGCGGCGAGGAAGGATAGATGCGGGCATGCCAGCGGAGGGTTGCAGCACGCTGCCCACCGTCTCCAATTTGGTTGCTGCATCCATGGGTGGGGTTGTCGCAGAGGGGGGGGGCGAAGGGGGCAGGGGGGGTGAAGGGCAGGAGGCGTCAGGGGGGTTTTCAATGGCCGCCCCACGCCACACCGGCGGATCCGGAACACGAGTGCGCCAGACGGTGTTGGAGGACGCGGACAGCATTGTCACAAAGAACGAGCAGACGTCAAGGAGGGTCGACCGCTGGATGACCTGCACCAATCAACCATTTAACATGGTCGACAACGAGTTCTTTGAGGACATGATTGATGCCGTACGAAACGCCCCTGCTTCCTGGCAACTTCATTCGAGAGAGGCAGCACGCAATGGGAGATTGAACGCGCAAAACAAGAGGGCCATTGAAGATGTGGCGGGGATCGCAAAAAAGTGGGCACGCACGGGGTGCATGATACAGGTTGATGGGTGGTCTGACCGGCGGGGAAGACCACACATCAACGTTATGGTGTCCTCCCCCATTGGCACAGTGTTCTGGAAATCGCTGGGTGTCGAAGGGAAGGACAAGGATGCGCAGGCGTACTTCCGTATACTCGAGGGGGCGATTGAGGAGATTGGGCCAAAGAGCGTGGTGGGCGTGGTCATGGACAACGCCAGAGTTTGTGTGAAGGCTGGGAAGATGGTGGAACAAAAGTATCCAAGGATCTTCCGGGTTGGTTGTACGGCACATCCCCTCGACCTTGCCTTGGAGGACATGAACAAGTCGTTAGAGTGGTTCAGAACGACGGTGAAGAGGGGGAATCAATTGGGGAAGTTTGTCATGAACCACGACAAGGTGCGGGCTTTATTCCTCAGCAAATCCGGAGGTGCACAGATCAAGAGGCCGGGTGTGACTTGATTTGCCACAAACATCATCATGCTGAAGTCACTGTCGGATTTGAGCAATGCCCTCAAGGTGGCAGTTGGCGATAAGGAGTGGGTGCCCGGCATTGTGCGGCCCGACCTTGCCACGCAGTTCGAGGAGGCGACAGCAACAGTGTTGGACGGTACATTTTGGGATGATGTCGACAAGGCGTTGCTGACAACAGATTCAATCGTGGAGCTTCTGAGGCTCGTAGATGGTCCCGGTGGAACGCTGCCTAAGGTCTACCATCGGATGGACACCGTTGTGGAGTCCATCCGTAAACTGGATGTGTTAATAGACCATGAGAAGGGGGAGGTGGAGGTGATCCTTATGGATCGCTGGGCATTCATGACATCAGAGCTGCATTGTGCAGCTGCTTTCTAGGACCCAGAGTATAGAGCTGAAGGCTACTTCAAGGACACCGAGATCCGGGCTGGATTCAACATCTGGTTGTACACGTGGTGCAAGCAATTCGATGATATCAGCTGGCAGGTGGACGAGTGGGTGCACTTCAAGGGGTCTTTCCAGTCAGAGGAATCGATGCGCACGGCGAGGACAAAGACGCCTGCGATGTGGTGGGATGCATTTGGGTCGCGACTGTACCTTTTGCAGCCTCAAGCCATCAGATTGCTCGGCCAGGCAAGCTCATCTGCTGCATGCGAACGCAACTGGAGCTTACATGAGCTCATTTTCGGGAGGAGGAGGAGGAGGATTTTGCCAACCCGCCTGTCAAAGTTGGTTTATAACAACTGGAACCTCCACCTGCAGTGGAGGCAAGAACACAGTGGCGAGGTTGATGTTCACACCCCTTGGTTGGAGGACAAGTGTTACATCTTAGACGCCACACGGGTCCTACCGGACCCGACATAGGGTAAAGGGACACAGTAGAGCCAAAGGCCCGACCTTGGGGGTACTACAGGCCGTAAAGGCCTTACCTTGGACCAGACCCGACGGGCCGGCCCAAACGATGTTACCGTTTGGGCCTGGCGGCGCTCTTGAGGCTGCCGCCCGCCGGTTGGGGCTGAACCGTCCATCTGGACGGTTCAGGGCACGGTCAGGCCTCACAGCATAGAGGCCGACCTCTGCCCACCGGTACAAAGGTACCGGTCCAGCCTCAGTGAGGCTATCGACCTACCGGCATTCTACCGGTACGGTATGGTACAGCGCGATACAGCGCTGGCGCTAAGTTTAGCGCAGGAGCAGTGAGGAGCAGCAGCAGCAGTGAGCGAGCAGCAGCAGCGGCGACTGAGGGTGCCGGCGGCCATAGCCGCCTGAGGTATCGGGAGTTGGAGGCCTCTCTCCTCCCTCCCYTCGCCAGTCCCCTCTCTCTCTCTCTCTCTCTCTCTCCTCCTCGGCTCCTTCTTTTTCTTCTTCTTCTTCTTCTTCTTCTTCTTCTTCTTCTTCTTCTTCTTCTCCTCTTCAGACTCCATCTTCTTCTTCTTCTTCTTCTTCAAATTGGAGACTTATACTAGTTGGACAGAGATCAGTATTGGACTTCGGTGGTATGAGACTGTGGTACTTACCGGATTGGAGACTTGGAGATTGTTGGGGTTGATACTCGGCTGCATCACAGTTCGGACACCGGTTACATTTGGACTTACCTCCGACATTGGTGACCTATTGTCCTCGACATTTTGATCTTGTTGGATGACATTTTGGACTACCATATCGGTGACCTATCAGATTCTATCTCGGTGACCTTCGGTGCTGTCTACCTCCCCCACCTCCTTCGTCTCTCCTCCCACCTCTCATCTGTGTATGCGTGTACGAGGTCTGGGCATCGTCTATGCTTGGCCCAGACCCCACCATCTCACGATTGTATGTGTGTGGAGTGATTCTTGAGTCAGTCTGTGTGAGTCAGTCTATGTGAGTCAGTCCGTTTATCAGACTTCCGCTGCATATATGCTCATCCTACATTGGTTGATCTTTGGTTCTGCCCATACTCATTGAAGTATGTAACAACATGCCTGATCAAGAGAGGAAGAACGAGGCGGAGGAGTATTACAATGAGTGGGTGCGGCGTGTCAAGAGGCGTGCGAAGGATGGGGGGAGTGACTTGGAGGAAGGAGATGGGGCGGAAGTGGGGGAGGAGGATGATGACGAAGGTGGCTGCACAATGACGTCATGGACGACTACATGGACCAGCAGGACGGCATCAGGCAGCTCGACAATTACACAGACCATTGGCACTTCAACACAATGCCGGGGAGGCACCGAGAACGTCTCTTGAGGAGGCTGTCAGGCCAAGAGCGGCCAGCACCGGAAGTCCAGTACAACTTGGGAGGAGCGGGACCGTGCGCTGCGGGCCAGGGAGACGGGGGCATGGGTGGATGGCAGGGAAGAAGGTGGAAGCAGGAGGCAGCATCGGCGAGCACGTCCTGGCGAGGGGGACGGTGGCGGGAAGCGTACCGCGGAGGTAGACATTGCGCCTGCTCCGAAACGGAAGAGAGGACGACCGAGCAACAAGGAGAAGGCAGAAAGAAAAGCAGCAGAGAAAGCTGCGAAGAAGGCGTCCGCATCTGCAAAGAAAAAGACTTCTGCTGCAAAGAAAAAAGCAGCAGCAGCGAAGAAAAAGAAGGGGAAAGTCGTTGACGATGACAACACCCCTCCGTGTTCAGCTTCATCGTCATCATCCTCTGATGATGATGACGGTGATGATGATGCCGATGGTGATGATGATCGTGATGGTGATGATGATTGTGATGGTGATGATGATCGTGATGTTGATGATGGTGGTGATGGTGATGACGAGGAACAGGACGGAGGTTCTGAATCTTCTGATGATGAGGACGAGGGGGGCGAACAAGAGGAAGAGAGTGGGGAGGAAGGGGCTGCGGAGGGACAGGACGGAGGTTCTGAATCTTCTGATGATGGAGAGGCTGAGAATTAGGATCTGGCCCACTGCGAACTCAGAGGTTCACTGTTTTGCTGACTATAAGTGATATAACTGACTTAGCAACATTGCAATGCGGAAGCTCTTTCGGATGTTGTCTTGTCCCAGGCTGTTTGTGGTTTCTTCGTGATGTGTCCGACAACTTTGACTTTCTGACACTCTGTCCCTCTGCAGTTGTCTATTTTCATGATGAGGCACTCAGATGCAGTGTTTCTGCATCTACAAACATGAACAGGTGTGTAGTACTGTGTACCGACCGAACAACCCCACCCGCTGCATGAAATTTGATATTCTTGCAATGTCGTAGTTGGCAGTTGGAGTTCAAACTCCAAACTTCAAAGTTGAAGCTTGAAACTCAGTTGAAATTTCACTATTTGTGGTTCTCAGTCATATCAGCACAGGTAACACCTCTCGGATCCCTCTTTAAAAAAAAAAAAAAAAAAAAAAAAAAACCGCACGGCCACCCCCCGTACGGATCTCCGCACGGATCCGATCTGTGCCGGTGCGGCTCGTGCGGAGATCGAGCACCCCCCGTACGGATCTCCGCACGGATCCGATCTGTGCGGGTGCAGCTCGTGCGGTTGCAAGTATGACCACAATATAACAAAGATGTTGCAGAATTGTACTCTCACAGAGGACAATACCCTGTCATTGTTGGCAAGGTGGTAAGCACTGATGCAAGGGCAGGAAAAAAGCAGAAAAAATGCGCAAAAGAGTGGTAGGCACTGATGCAAGGGCAGAGAAAAAGCACAAAAAATGCACAAAAAAGTGGTAGGCACTGATGCAAGGGCAGGGAATAAGCACAAAAACATTGAATTGAAAAAGCGCAAAAAAGAGACTTACTCGCAGATGGCCTTGTGGGGGCAGGGAAAAAGCAGAAAAAATGCGCAAAAAAAGAGTGGTAGGCACTGATGCAAGGGCAGGGAAAAAGCACAAAAAATGCACAAAAGAGTGGTAGGCACTGATGCAAGGGCAGGGAATAAGCACAAAAAATGCGAAGGGCAGGGAATAAGCACAAAAAATGCGAAAAAGAGACTTACTCGCGGATGGCCTTGCGGTTCAGATGCTTCTCCAGGATATCGACGAATGCACCCACTTTCACAGGCTGTGTATTGCCTAGGTTGAATATCCGGAACTGAGCGGACCCAGTCTTCTTCCCCCCACTGCATCACATTAACGCGGTGAGAGAACTCATTAGATAGATAGTAGATACCAACAACAAAAAAAAAGAAACAGACATTTCGCATAACAAACATTTCGCATAAAGTGGGCCAAATGCAGATGAAAACAGATATACTTGTAATGCAACCCGAGCATCGTATCGGTCACAGATTCAAAACTCAATTAAATCACCACTCTTCCTGAAGATATTTTGCCGATCCTGGTAGTGCCGCTGATCCTGGGCTTCTGAGCCTGAACTGTTCTGCCTTTGGGCTCAGAGCAGGGGGGGAAAACATGCACATTCAGCGCACGCAAGATCTTGTCTCTGGGATAAAAAAAACATGTTAAAACCACCACAACCTCCGAGGCTCTTTTTGCCGAGGCCGAGTGGAACTGCATCAACTCCGGTTCGGTCGGATGCCGGTCAGTACCGGTCGTAGGGCTAGACGAGTTGTTTTACGAGCGCTCGCGGCTCATGCTATGCTTCCTAATTTCGGGTGATGCATCCAGCTGCCGAGCTTCTATCCTAGACAAACTATTGACCAGATGCTGACTCAAGACAAAAATCCAGATATGTCGTCAAGTGACTTGTCCAGCAACAGCGACACCAAGATGCGGGAAGGTACCATCACACTCATTCATCCATCAAAGCAAATACAGGGCTTAGGGGGGCGATGCACTTCATTCACGAACATTCCTTCGATGAAGCTCCTCGACGCTCCATGCATGCAGGTACATACTCACCATCCCCCAACCTGGCCACTTCTTCTTCAGCCTTCAACCCCACTGTCAAACTCTCAACCTCCTCCTCGCCGGCTATTTTCTTGCCAGCGCTCAACAGCAGTGGATGCAGCGAGTAACCAGCTCCGATAACAATTGCATTGAGCCTCCATGCTCATCACCATGAGCACATACACATTCACACTCAATGCGAGATCAAACGAAGTCCACACTGGAGACCAGAGATGTAGAGTCCAAGCGCAACTTAGATATCCCAACAAATTATCACATTAAGCAGTTCCAGTCACCAAGCGCTCATCAGCGCAGAGTTCAGTTACCCGATTCCAGCATCCTCAACCAAGGTAAGTGACTCTCTTCTCCCTCTGCCTCCCTCTCTCTCTCTTCTCTCTCTGCCTCCCTCTCTCTCTCTTCTCTCTCTCTCTCTCTCTCTCTCTCTCTCTCTCTCTCTCTCTCTCTCTCTCTCTCTTCATGCATGCTCTCACTCTCTCTTCCTCTTGTTGTCTCCCTACTTGAGAACCTTGACTCTGAATACATCCGCTGCTACTCAGCTCTATCCCTACTACTACCTTATGTGGCTATGGCCGCCTTCCCTCTCAGTGCAGCGCTGCCCAGCAGGGCTCTCGTGTGCGCATGCTACTCGCAGATAGCGCACTAGTGCTTCAGCTGCACTTACACACTTCTCACGAATGAGCGATCTCCCCCGAAATGTGGCAGGCCAGTCCTTATATTGACTTGGACTGAGCCTCAACTCACCCCAGTCTCTGCTCCTTTGACTTGACTTGGACCCGGTACCACATGCCCACGGCCTGCTTGCTTCAGAATGTCAAGGCCTGGTACTTTTCCCAAATTTTCATTGGTGTGCTGCTGCTTGGGTCTGTGAGCCACGACTTTTCACCGGTGGAGCATGAATTTTGACTGTGGGATGTGACTCTTGCCTCTGGGACACGACTTTTGCCTGGAGAAGTGTCCTTCGCCTGTGGGACATGACTTTTCAATATGAGACGTGACTTTTGCTTACAGAATGCAACTTTTGCCTTTGGGATGTGACTGTTCGCCGGGGCCCTGTTGGACTCAACTCCTAAGGTACCCGACTGTAACCTTTCTGATCTGGCCGACTTGGCCTCCCTTGGCTTGAGACCTTAACCCTGAAATTCGAATTTGGGGTCTGCATCATGGAATGCCTTTCGACAACCTCCAAGGCTCTTTTTGCCGAGGCAGAGTGGAACTGCGTGCCAAGCTTTGGCCGAAACCCCAGTGCGGCGTTTTTTTCTTTTGTTTTGACTGGCTCCAGCAGCCTTTTTGATCCGGTAGTGCTGGTCGCCAACCGGCCTCCAAAAAGAATGTGGTAAGTTATATTTACGACTTGAAGTACTTCCACAGATCCCACTTCAAACCAACACCAAGAGTGTGAATAAAAAAGGAAACAATCCACGTTCTTCGGATTAACAGCGCAACTGGACCAAAATTGTACACCCATGAACTGTTTAATAAACAGACCTGAGTTCGGATCCCAACGGGGTCAGATGATTGAAAAACTGAAATTGTACCTCTGAATCACCTACTGCCGGTGAGATGGGTGATCACTGCCTTTCTTTTTCCACAGTGATCTTTCAGCTCCCCACTTTCATTGATTTCACGCGCAGTGTGTTTTTTTTGGTGAGTTCCGGATACACATAAACAAAAACCAATAGTACTGGCAACGTATCCTGCATAAATAGAAGGAGGATGTATAGCCAATATGGGGTCTTATAGTACAGGGTTGATGAAACCTCAAAGCCATCTCCCTTCCATAACAAAGGAGGGTTGACGGAACAAACCCAGCCCCCCCCCCGAAAGTACAACAAAAACCAAAAGATGTGCTCACAAACAATAAAAGAAAAAAAGCAAAAAGACATGTGGAACTGCAGGAGAAATACGATCTGCACTTACCTCCCGGTACTTGGCTTGGCAGTATCTATAGAAGCAACACAACCCTTCACAACGTCCGCAATATACGTGAAATCCCTTGACAACTCTGTGTCATAAGGACCCCTGAAGATCTTGATGGGCTGGCAATGAGACAAACAATCATCGCAGTGTTCTGTTACTTTGCGATTCTGAATTTCTGAGGGCATACTTGCACTATCTTTTTTCTTGTCGATTGTCTCCTTGTCAGAGGACAATACCGTACGGTCCGTACCTTGCAAATAGTATTGTAACTATCTCTTGAGAGAAGAAAGATCAGCATGAAATTTTGATAAACACTGTAGTTCCATAAATACCTCATCTAGGTAATATCCAGATTGCCTCATTGATAGAATATTTAGAGTATATATGTAATCTCTAATTTAGAATATAAAGAAGATCTTCTTTATATTCTTTTTTTTATAGTTCTATTTATTATTATGAACTAGTAATTTCATTTGCAATGAGGAATTCAATCAAATTGATTTGTTCATTAAGAAAAATTAGCAAAAAGGTTACAGAACCACCATAGTAAATTCAATAAAGTATAGAGTCTCCAAGGAAATGGGCAATGCAAACAGCAATAAACCAAATTGCAACATCTCACAGAAGACCAGATATCATTGAGACGAAACAGGGAGCAGAATGCAGAGAAAGATCAGTGATCTCACCAAATATGAACAAGCAAAGCATTGAAGTCTCCCAAACGCCTTTAAGCACCAATGGAACAACAACGTAGGCTCCCCATTGGCGGCTATCCACCCAGACTACTGACAGAAGCTGGCAGATGCTACTATCAATCTACCCTACTCTGCTAAAACAGGTCACGCATGCCACCAGCCCAATGCCGCTTGAAGATTCCACCACCCAGCGATGGAGCGCTCAACCTGGCTATGGCTGTCGCTCTCCCTCTTCGTCCTCGCTGACACCGCAGCAGCTTCCTCTACAGGCACAGTGCTCTCAGCCACTGCTCCAGCAGCGCTGCTGCATTGGCACAATGCCCCAATGTGTCTGGAGGCTTGCGCCCTCTAGCCTTTTGTGCTGGCTGGAGTGGCCGAGCAGCCTCTGGCCTGGCTGCACCCGGAAACTTCACTGGACCCTACAAGAATCTGCACTAGGCCCAGCATCTGGAACTGCACCGGACCCTACTAGAATCTGCACGAGGCCCAGCATCCGGAACTAACTGGGAGGCTGAGTCTATTGGATAGCTGGAGATGCTGCACGAGCAGCAACCACCCAGGGGTCCCCAATTCTGTCCAAATCATCCTGTACTCGGGCCTGGGCTCATTTTTGCAGGCCCGCCTTGAGTTAAGGCATGCTGGGCCTTGTCTTGGAATTGCCGAGGTCCTGAATCCTCACTAATCTGAACGTAGTTGCAACCAGATACATCGACACTCAAATTCATCCAGGAAAGACCTAGTGTGAGTATGCCCTCAATTATGGTTACGCCATGCCACACATGCAATTACACTAAACTCGAATAAAGAATTTGGTCTGCAATAGGTCGGAGGATTACGTCACTTTGAGAATTATCATCCTCCCCCAAGAAGAAACGCACCGTCATTATTGCCGTATCTAGAATGAAATTCGCCCCAGATTCCACAATGACTACTGTGCGTCCTATTAAGGGGAAAACCGATGTTCCATTGTCCGACAGGCCTAACAAGGGAAAATGCTAACAGATCATAGCACAAGTGTCTTTTTGTTTTTCTCTTGTATATTGTCAGCCAGAACTGCCCGGTAAACCGTAGGCAGATAGGGCAAAGAGGACAACAAACAACGCGCTGTGACAGACTGTTCCATCAGAGTTTCAAAAACTCATCAGGAGGCTGAATCACATATATCGTCACATAGCTATGAACTAAAAGAGCGCACTTTGCGAAAGAAAGGATAAAAACAGAAAACAAGGGCACAACGAAACCATTCAAGTTCTTCTTTTAACTCCCCCTACACTGTGCCTCTCACGTATAAAGGCTCGCCATGTTGATGAAGTTGAGCGCGATCTGCCACAAACCTCGTGTGCCATAACAGCCCACTTGTACGCTGTGAGAAAGAGGCAGAGTGAAGGGGGAGGGGATAAACACAGGGAAGAGAGATGGAGAGAAGACAAACAAGGAATGATAAAGGGAAAGTAAGGGAAAGTACGGAGTGTGGAGTGAAGATGAAGGTAAAAGAGGATAAGAAAAGGCTCAATAATGAGTCTGTCCTTGACAACAGAGAGGACATACATTGCAAGGATGAGGTGGATGAACACATGGAAGACCTAGCTGAGCATTCTCAGTGCAACAATTGCCACGACGGGTGGCATTGAGCATGCCCACCATACACCCCCGACAAATGGCATGTCGATTGCAGGCCAAAATGAAGGAAGAATGGTCACCACAAAAGACCATGCATTCAATATAGCGCCCATGGCCGCAAAATGGACATATAGTGTCCGGATGCGGAGGGTGCCCGCAGTCAGGAACGGAGGGACAGTCCTCTGCAGACATGGATGCAGAAACCATGTCATTGAAGTGATGGCGGCTACAGCCGAGTGAAAAAGTGTTTGTAGCTGTGCAAAGGAGAAGGTCACAGTGTTGGTACACTGTGACGGCGCCAGAAGAATGATCTTCGACATAAAAGAGATTGCGGACGGTTTGTTGTGGCAAGAAAACAGCATCATTACATAAGAAATCAGTGACATCAGTCATGGCATGGACCATGGTGCTGTTGTCCCACAGCTCCCAGTGGTCAGAGGCATGTACAATGGCCGTGTAATGGCCAGGTCCGTGCACAATGCAGGCAGAGATGTGGGAGGGAGGATTAAACCACTCAGCTGCTTGAGCATTGCGTAGTTCATGTTGACGGTCCCTCATTGCTACTTGCAGGACAGCAATGGTAAAGCCTCCTTCCTTAGTATAATTACAGGCCTCTGGCTGTAGGTGGGGAAGATGAGCATGAAGCTGAAGGGCGACTGCAAGGAAGTCTGACGGTGCATAAAATGGGCGGTGGAGAATGTGAAGACAGATGTAAGTCACTGTCAGACCACAGCGGAAGCAATCCAATAGAATTCCAGACTTCCAGTCACAAAAAAAAGTTAAAAAAAAACAGAGTCAGGACGCCGCCCGACCGGGCTGGGCCCGGGGCCGCCCGGGTTTAACCGGGCGGGCCAAAAAAAACGGCCAGAATTTTTTTTTTTAATAATTTGAAACCGGGGTCGTTCTGCACTCGGCAAGAGGACCCCGAATCTGCAATAAAATTTTGGGTTTGGG